CATCATTCTAAAGAACTAACGAGCGCTCCCCCATGCTGCTGACAGAGATTACACCACTTCAGACCGCATTGTTTACAGTGTTCCTGATGACAGATCCAGATGAAATTCAAGCCACTAAACCAACTCTGAGACAAAAACAAAGCTGGCAGCTCCCTCTGCCAGAGCGCCAGGGTCACACGGATGAGCGTTAAGTTGTTTCAGGTGTGTAGTGTTACCTGACATCATCATCAGCTGCACTTGGAGTTTGTATTATCCAAAAGATAACATGGGAGGAAGTAAAATACACCATATGTTTGTTGTTGGAAACGGTTTCCAGTTATAATGCACAAAATGTTTTAAGGCTGGTGGGAATCACATAATAAAGTTGGAATTTGTCAGGCTGGTGTTGGACAGGTTAAAAGTTTCCCCTTCGTCTTTTTAGTTAAAGCCAAAGTCAAGTCAACTTCAACCAGTCTTAGAGCGTACGTGAGCGTGGCATCAGTCTCTTATCCTAATGTCAGCAAAAACCTTCTATTCTTCCATGTTACAGAATCATACATGAACTTTTTTCTCTGCAGAGCCTCATATCCAGAGTTTATCCAGTGACGGAAAGAAGGAGAAACATTAGTTATTACATGTTGTTGAGACAGGAACTGAATTATATGAATGCGAAAGTAGAAAGTGAGCCAGAAGAGCAGACATGGGAAATTCCTGACCGATAAAATGAAGGTCAGTGAGCACGAGCACTGCTGAGTGACTGGATCTGGGCAGAGAGCTCCAACGATGATACCCACACAGGCCTTATTTCACACTGATGACCTTTAGAGAAAAATCATCCATAAAAAAGCCCTCACTGATTTATACAGAGCTTTATAAACAGGGTTTATTTTCATTCTTTATAGTTTATTCTTAACGGCACAGGTATGCAGAGCAGAGGCAGACTGAAGGTTATTTTGAGCGCTCAAACACAGCTCCTTCAGCAATGCACGTGTGTGTGCGTGTGTGTGTGCGTGCGTGGAGGTAATTGATTCACTGCATGAGCTGCTGTTAAAGCCATGAATGGAGTCAACGGGAAACTATGTGTTTGGTTTTGACACACAGACGCGTACAGAGCGCTTTCACAGGGTTATTAAAGATGGAAAAAGCTGCAAAGGAAATTAAAAGTGTGACTTTGTTTCTGAGTTTCTGGTCTAAAGACGTCTCTTTTACTTTCAAAGGGGTTTTACTCATTCCTCCGTGCAGGGCACTGATATATCATACAGATAAACTGAGCTGATGCAATCACCTCAGGGCTAGTGGGCATAATACACATACTAAGGATTTGTTACATCACTAACAAATCTTTGTTTTCTTTTTTTAAAAGCCCACATTTTACAAAGCCAGAAAAGAAGAACTTTTTAGGCTTTCTTTTATGTATGTCCTGTAATTTATACACGTATATATACTTTAAGTTGTTTGTATCTCAACTCTTTCCCCTGATAAAGACGACATCTGACGACCTCCTTTGTCCCCTATAGGCAAGAAATGACACTTCAGTATGTTTCAATAAAGTTGTGGTTTGACATCCATGAGAATAGTTTCCAGGTTTTCCAAGGGTAGCTGCATATGCAGAGACCATCCTCACTGCCCTCTGGCAGAAACTGCCCAGAACAGAAAAGTGTTATTCCTAATAGGCTTTCAGGGGTGCAGAATTAAAGTATAAGCACCTTAATGCCAGAGAAATGTGAAATGTGTGAAGAAAAAAACCAAAAAACCAAAATCTAATAATAAAAAGTTTGCACATATAAGGCAGCTTCAGAATCAAACCATAGTGGAGAGATGACTTTGTGCATGTAAAAGATTTTGCAGAGGAGTACATCACTATATCATCAGCATAGAAATGAAAGTTTGCTGCAGTGACATTTGGACCAACATTATAAACAACAGTTGTCTGAGAACACAACCCTGGTACATGAAGCGAGGTACAAATGAATCCATCTACCTGTACGCACTTGCTCATGTCCCAGTCATACAGGCCTACAGACTGCTCATTGACAACCACTGGTCACCAGGGAAAAGTGTGATGCTAGAACAGCATTCCCCAACATTTTGGAACCACGGAACATATTTCACATTAGAGAAATCACACCGCACAGCACAAAACTAAAATGTCACAACAAGTATATTGACCATTTTTCTCCGTGCATCAGGTATAGCGGAATTGCTTTCTTCTGACCACTGCTCATGCTTCATCTGGATCGGAGCTTTCTCCAGGACCCAGGTCAGGCAGAACAGTTACATTCTCCTCCACTAGAGGGCAGTAAAACTACCTGCTCTAATTAAATGGCTTCTCAACTGCCAGTAAAACAGAAGAAGAGGAAGAAGAAATGACATAATAGCCGAGCTTTGAGACCACAGTGCTAATAGCAATAGCAAAATTTTCAAATAAATATTTGAAAATAATTTTTTTTTATATTTTATTATATTTTATATTTTATTTTCAAATAAAATATATTACACCTGAGTAGTACTACTCAGGTGTAACTTTCTCCAGGACCCAGGTCAGACTGACTACCTTTTCTTTTCAAATATTTATTTGCAAATTTTGCTATTGCTATTACCACTGTGGTCTCAAAGCTCGGCTATTATGTCATTTCTTCTTCCTCTTCTTCTGTTTTACTGGCAGTTGAGAAGCCATTTAATTAGAGCAGGTAGTTTTACTGCCCTCTAGTGGAGGAGAATGTAACTGTTCTGCCTGTTATGCCGATCACTTAGAGTATAAATCAGTACTACTCAGGTGGAACCAGATAATCTTCCACAGCACACCTATGTGCCGCAGGACAGTGGTTGGGAAACACTGCGCTAGAAGATCCTGTGGTTTCCAGTAGCTGGAAGCATGGAAGACGTCCAGTTGTCTGCAAACACTTGCCTAATATTCTCCAAGCTGTTGTGAAACTGTGAAAGCTGCGGCATGGATCGGCTTCAAAGTAAAAGTAAAACCTAAAGCCAGAGCAGAGATATTCAAAAAGAACATCTTTTACTGTGAAGGTGAATGTTTCTCATTTCAGGTTTTCACTTTTTCAAGCTTTGCCACAGTTTGCAGAGTAAATGTTACAATCTTCCGTGCAAACTATGGACGGTTGGGGCAATCTGCTAGCCTGGAAGCAATCATAGGCTGGTTTTTAATGCTGCACCATTTTTGCAACCAGTTTCACCCAGCAACAGGGAGTAACCACTCATCACCAGTTGGGAAATACACGTCTTCCCTTAACACCCCGTGTTTGCCAGGGAGAAGTCGCTTAATAGTGTCTGGGCCTGTGTGGCTCAGTCATTAGATGAAGTTAAAGGTCAGTCTCAGAGTTAAATCAGGGTTTTCTACCACAAGGTTAGAATAATCCGTCTAACACTGACCAAGGCTCACACACAAAATAAAATGTTTAGGGCACCGAAAGATGAGGAAAGACAGAGGAAATCAGAAGCAGCGAGGAAACAGATTTACTGTCATGTGTTAACTCTCGAGAAATAGATCAGGTCTTTTCATAACACAAGACTACAACAGCACATACAGGCACTGCATGAAAAGGTTTTCACATCTGAGTGACACTTGGAGCAAAAATATGCAACTGATTGCAGAAGAGAAAGAAAACAGAAGAAATTAGGAGAAGATGAAAGGGGCAGAGAGAGGTTTTTATGAGTCCTGTGTGTTTGTCAGGCTGCCAGGAAGAGCAGCTGGTTTTGTTCATTTCCAGAACTTCTTGGATGCATGGCAGAAAGTGGAGGAAAACTGTCAAACACACTGATCCACTTTGGTATTTCACCAGTCAACAGTCCATATATCCTGATTACATGAAGGAAAAGTGCTTAGTCAGAATTAATAATGGTGAGAATTTAAAGTTAAGATAAAACCTCAACAGGATAAAGAAATCCCAGAGTGCATAAATCCAAACAGACTCTGATGAGAGCTTTAAAAATACTAATAAAAGAAAAATCATGAAGACATTCATGAGTCTGTCTCAGAAATGGTAAGAAGAAAAAAGATTACTGAACATCTGGTATATGAAATTATTTGTTATTGTCAATAGACAAATGTGGCCAATCAAAAC